AATGGCTGCCAATCAGGAACACGAGTTTGTTCTCGGCCACCAAGATCAAGTATTTTCAAGGTGAGCTATTGCCTGCCTATATTTTATTTATTTATTTATTTGGTGATACTGCCAGCATTCTGTGGAACGCCCAGGCAGGAGGTGTACAAAAACAATATTCAAAGACAAGCGGAAGTAGTACAAACAAGCAGACAGCGCCACTACTCAACAAAGTGCGAGAGTAGTGCTTCAATAAAAGCATATTCTAATGATCTCAAATCAAAACACTTTCAAGAAGCTTATTCCACTCACACGTGGTTCTAGGAAAAAAGGATGCTTTGAACTAAGTGGTTCCACACAATGGTTCGACAAGTGTTAATTGGTGTTTGCCTCTCATGGCCCTTGTTTCGTTAAATGATGTGTAATCACAGAGACGCAGTCGCAAATTACCCTGTATCATATTATAAAGAAACTTCAGCCGTCCTGTTTTTCTCTGCGTTGCTAAATCACTTAATCCCAATCTTGGGTACAAGTCTGAAACTGATGACATAAAACCATAATGGTTGTACACAAACTGCAATTTTTTTTTTGCACAGTCTCTAACATATCGATTGACAGCTTTGTATGAGGGTCCCATACAATACATGCATATTCTAGCATTGGTCTTATGATGGTTTTATAAGCAGTTAGTTTAGTTTCAGGTGAACACAGGTTAATATTTCGTCTTAAAAACCAGAGCTTCCGCATTGCTCTACGAGCTATAAACTCAATATGTGCACTCCATGACAAATCAGAGCTAATTAAAGCTCCGAGGTATTGATATTTGTTAACAGTATCGAGTGGTACTCATTTGATAGAATATGTAAAAAAACAAAGGGTTGTTCTTCCGCGTCAAGGCCATTTGGACACACTTTTTACAGTTTAGAACCATATTCCATTTTATGCACAATGCATGAACCAAAGATAGACATTAATTGAATTCTTCTTGATCAGACGGGTTGTTTACCTTAGCAAATAAAACAATCGTCAGCAAAAAATCGGCTTTGTACATTAGGGTGGTGTATCTTTAAATCGTTAATAAAAATTAAAAACAAAAGTGGCCCAAGGACCGAGCCCAGGGGCTCGCACGAGAAAACGGGTGACTCGGGGGGAAAAAACAGTGAACACTAACGCACTGCGTTTAGCGTTTCATTCCCCTTGGATGCCATTTCCTATGTGTAGTGGTCTTGCATTAGAATTTTTTGTCTCCCTTCTGCAAAAACACCCAAGTTTAATTAAGACCGAGTTCTTTCTTATACATGCAGGTCTTGGTGGCAAGCACCAGCCAATCAAGGCCAGAAGTTTGCTCTTTGCCGCTCATCGCAAGTGTTTTCAAGGTGAGTGATTGATGCCTATCTGAGTTGTGTGTTTTATTCCTCACAGACACTCTATTTCCGGTCTTTATAGTGGTCTTGTGTCAGGCTTTTGTGTCTCTGTCTGGCCAAAGCATCTGTATTAGACTAAGACTGGGTTCTTTAGGATATGTGCAGGTATCCTTCGCAGCAAATGGCTGCCAATCAGAAACACGAGTTTGTTCTCGGCCACCAAGAGCAAGTATTTTCAAGGCGAGCTATTGCCCGCCTATATCAGTGATGTGATGGCTGCGCCAATTGCGCCAAACTGCACCAAGGGGCTAACCCTGCTACATTTTGTCAAAATATGGGTAATCTGCGCCAAGCCTGCGCCAAAGGGCCAATTTTGGTCGCCTTTCAAAACCGAAACTAAACTAAGTACCGTAACTGAGCATGCATGAGCTAGTTCAGTTCAGTTTATTTTACCTCAAAGGCATTTCAAATGAAATGCATTACATGAGGGGGGATCAAATGACATATACAGATGGCAAAAAAGTGACGACAATGTAAATAATACGAAAACGCAAAAAGAAAACAAAAGAACTACAAACTAATTGGACAGATATCAGAACATAACATGTATAAAAAATAATTAGCAGATAAACATGTTAAGGATCAACGCTTTTCAGGTGTGCCCTGCATAGTTCACGGAATGTCTTAGGGTTAGATTCACATACTATGGATTCAGGAAGGGAATTCCAGTTAGTAACAGCGAGAGAAAATGGGGAATTTTGGAATTTATTAGTTCTGGCGAATAGAGGTTTAATTTTTAGGCTGTGGTCATGACGCAAGGAGATGTGAGGTGATGGGTGACAGTTGGTGTTTCGAAAATCAGAAGAGGAATAGAAAGTTTTGTGAAAAAGGACAAGACGAGCAAGTTGAGATCTTTGAGATAGAGGGCATAGGTCGAGGTTGAATTTTAGTGCAGTTACGCTTGACGTTCGCGAGTAGTCGTGTGTTATAAAACGTGAGGCCTTGTTTTGCACCGATTCGAGTTTAGTAATGAGATATGATTGATGAGGCCACCAAATAAAGTTGGCGCAGTCCAATTCTGATCGGACGAAAGTCTTATAGGCAGTTAGTTTAACACAACGGGGAGTGGGGTATAGGTTACGTTTGATGTATCCTAGAGATCTGCATGCACTAGCCACTACATTGTCAATGTGAGTATTCCAAGTTAGGTCATCAGAAAATGTTACGCCTAAATATTTGTAAGTTGGTACTTTTTCGAGAGGCAGTGTTAGTAAGGTGTAGTTACGTACAATAGGAGATCGCTGACCAGTGAATGTTAAAAGTTTGCTCTTGGTTACATTGACCTTCATCTGCCACGTGTTACACCAATGAGACAGAACATTTAGATCCTGCTGTAGTAGTAATGAATCTTCAGGGTTAGTGATGCGACGGTAAATTACGCAGTCATCCGCGAAAAGCCTAATAGATGATGTTATCTGGTGAGGAAGATCGTTAATATATATAAGAAATAAAAGCGGACCGAGAACGCTGCCCTGGGGGACGCCCGACAGTACAGGCAGGCTTGGTGATCTGGCATGTCCAAGGTGAACAGCTTGCTTACGGTTAGTTAAGAATTCAGCTATCCAGAGTATAAGAGATGGATGGATGTTAAGTTCAGAAAGTTTGTATAGAAGTCGCTGGTGAGGAACCGTGTCAAATGCTTTAGAGAAGTCGATGAAGATGGCATCAGTGGGTTTAGAGGAGTGAAAATTGTTATGCAAATCTGTTACAAACTCAAAAAGCTGGGTTTCGCATGAATATCCCGACCTGAAACCATGTTGGTTGTTACATATTAATTTATTTTCCGACAAATAGTTCATGATGTGGGAGTAGACGACATGTTCAAAAATTTTGCATGGCACACTTGTCAGCGATATAGGTCTATAATTCGAGTAGTCCTGCTTGTTTCCGGATTTAAAAATAGGTAGAACTCTCCCGAATCTCCAGTCCTCCGGGAGGGTCGCCGAGTCAAGCGATTGTTGAAACAGTCTACAAAGAATATAAGATGATATGTGCTTTGTTAGTTTGAGAAGTTTAGGGCAAATATTGTCGTCGCCAGGGGCTGAGCTGCGGGAGAGTTTTTCGATTGCATTCAGGATACCATTTCGATCAAAGACAATAGGTTTACAAGAAATGTTAAGTGGTCTACAGATCGGATCACAGGGTACTGGTAAGTCTTCTACGGTGAACACGGACGAAAAATAGTTGTTAAAAACGGTAGCTGATTCAAGGTTTGTTAATACTTCGTTGAGGTCGTTGCTCAGCTTAGGGAGAGAGTCATCCCTCTTTGGAGATATTGTTTTCCAAAATTTCCGAGGGTTGGTTAATAATAGATTTAGCAGGTCTTGTTTGAAGTATTTGTTCTTCGCCTTTTTTATGCTATTTTTGAATTCCTTAAAACAGTTCAAGTACTTTGACATATCAGATACAAGGTTGGTTTTTTTAGCTTTGGCAAAGAGACGCTTTTTTTATTATTTAATTTTCTGAGGGTATTCGTGAACCAGGGTTGATCAGCATTCGTTTTTAACACAATTTGAGGCACAAACCGAGACATCAACTGCTTAAATTCGTCTTTTAGTAATTTCCAGTTTGACTCCACAGATCTTTCATAAAAATGGTGTTCGCATTCTGAAACAAACTGCGTAAAAGCCTCGTTTAGAGCACATTCGTTAACCTTGCTGTATACATTGATGAGTTTAGGAATTATCTTTCTAGTTACTAATGGCAGAGACATTTCAACTAAAACAGTGTTATGATCGCTGATCCTATCAAGAATACGAACTGACCGCACATCATCCGCACTCGAGGTGAAAACAAGGTCCAAAACAGAATGTAACCGTCTGGGTTCGTTTACGATTTGAGCGAGACCATAGCTATGCATCAGGTTAATAAAATTTGAAGCTTCTGCACCAACCGCACAAGAGGTAAGACCAATGCCCCCCTTCCAATTTACACCTGGGTAATTAAAATCCCCGCCAAAAATAATGGTACTACCGGGAAATAAAGAAAAAACGTGCTCCATACAAACGTACAGTTTATCAACGAAAGTATTGTCACGACCAGGAGGGCGATAACAGGCGCCAACGATAACTGGAAAAGAAGGATGATCTAAGCGTACCCACAAAACTTCAAGGTCACAATCTACAGTAATAAGTGATGCATTCATGGCTTTACTGATAGCAATAAGTACGCCGCCACCGCGGGAACGTGTGCGGTCGTTACGAAACAAATGAAATGATTGACTAAGAAGAACCTCGCCATCGCTAATCTCCGGCTTTAACCACGTTTCAGTTCCCAGCACAATCTGAGCACCTGAATCATGCACAGTTGACAAAAAAATATCTTGTTTTGGCAGAAGACTGCGAAAGTTCGCGACAAGTACACAGATATTAACACAATCCTGCCTAGCTATTTTTCTAGACTGTCACGTCATCGCTTGACTCACAGTTTGCAATTTTTGAACTAAAATAACTTCATCAGACTCGGGACAATAAACGTACTGCTTTCCACCGACATAAAGTTTGTCGTACACAAGTTTCACTTTTATGTTTTGATTTCTGAACTGCGCACTGAAATGCCACAGTTTGCTCCGGTGGTGGCAAACCCTAGGCGAAAAGTCTTCTGAGATAGAGACCTTAAGTGAAGGCGAGTGTTTAAGTTTGTTTGCATTATTCAGTACGTTCTGTTTTCCTCTGAAGTCCAGAAAACGCACCACAATCGGTCGGGCTGACCCCCCCTGCTTCCGGCCAACGCGGTGGGCACGTTCAATCTCTCCCGGTTCTATACCCAAATGGTCCTTGATGAAGCCTCTCAAACAGTTAGCCGTATCCTCCCACGTTTCATGTTTCATTTGGTTCTTCTGGGATACCCCTGACTAATAAGTTATTTCGCCTCATTCTGTTATTTAAATCATTGATACTAGAGTCAAGGGTGCAGATTTTATCATGTGAGTAACGGACGTCTCTTTGGACGCCACTGATGGTATTCTCAACCACGGCGAGTCTGTCCTTAATGGCGCTAATCTCCTGCATTTGTTTCTCTAGAGTACATACCTTCAGTTTTAGTTCATTAATTCCAGAACTGATAGAGTCCAGTCTCTTTCGGGTTTCGTTTTGGTGTTTTTCAGCAGTAGATGCTAAGTTTTCGATTAGCTCGCCCAGTCTTTCGATTTCGAAAGGACCGGGATTAAGCTCGACGTCTCCAGACAACATCAGCAATACGTCTAAGAAAAGAAGGCCACTGTCATGGGGCAGCGAGAGCAAGCAGCTAAACACAACAGAGACAACGCGTCTATAGAGTGTTAGTAGACTCTTTCTGTCGATGGGGCACGACACATTTAAGAGCATTACGTTGCTAGAGCGATAAAATTTCGCGTAATCCAAGTAACCAACCTGAGTTACGAAGCGTGTTAGCGTCGGCATCGCTGTGTCGTGCCCCGAGGCTTGCGTCGGTGGTAGGTCTTTTTGTAGGCAGCCTGAAGTCGGAAACGGAAGCGTTCCTCGGTGCGCCATCACGCGGCGGTCTTGTAGGCGGAGCCACGGCTGAGGTGAGACGGCAGTTTCCCCTTGCGTTGTGGAATCCAAGTGGAAAACGTTCTCCAGCGGCCATGACGATAGATAGGCCACGCCCCCATCCAACGCACTTGGTGACACCGTGAAGAGCAGCAGCAGCACCTGAGTTACGAAGCGTGTTACCGTCGGCATCGCTGTGTCGTGCCCCGAGGCTTGCGTCGGTGGTAGGTCTTTTTGTAGGCAGCCTGAAGTCGGAAACGGAAGCGTTCCTCGGTGCGCCATCACGCGGCGGTCTTGTAGGCGGAGCCACGGCTGAGGTGAGACGGCAGTTTCCCCTTGCGTTGTGGAATCCAAGTGGAAAACGTGCTCCAGCGGCCATGACGATAGATAGGTCACGCCCCCATCCAACGCACTTGGTGACACCGTGAAGAGCAGCAGCAGCACCTCGTCGACGATGGTGCTCTTGTAGAAGGTGTGGTCGTACTCCCAGCCCAACTGGCAGGGCCCGGTCTCGTTGGCACCGGTCAAGTTGCGCACCAGGCAGCGGCTGAAGCGTTCCTCGCCCCGCCGCGTCTCCCGGGGCACCGCCAGGGTCTTCCACTCGTCCGCCGTCAGGTTCTCGTACCCCGGCGGCCGGCCGCACCAGTGGTCGATGTCGGGCGCCACGGCCGTGATGATGAGGTTGTGGTAGGCCCCGAACATGCTGATGGTCACCGCAAAGAGGAACACCACCCGCTGAAAGGGCCCGTAGTGCCCGAACAGGTCCGTCAGCTCCAACTTCTCCTGCTTCAGCATCTTCTCCGCAGCCTCGTCCTCTCCCCTGGACTCGGAACAGCGTTGGACGGGGCCCGACGGCAAGAAGAGTCGCCCAAGCGCAGAGCGGCAAGGTGCGTGCGAGCAGGACAGGCCGTCGAGGAAAACAGCTCGAGGAAAACTGACCGAAAGCGAAAGGGTTAAACTCCGGATGTTGCACAAGCCTCGTCAAGTTGGCGGCGCCAATGAGGGTCCGCTCAACAGGCGCGCACGCATGCCAAGGATCCGTGACTTCGTTGGCTAAACCGCTAAACTGGCCGCGACCACGCACCACCACACCACGAACACATGCCGGCGCGCGACAAACGGCCGCCCGACACAAAATATCCTGCATCAATCGTCCATGGTTTTTTTTTAATGGTCTTTTCCCGCCATGCCGTCTCTTCTTTCACGCTCTCGTCGTCTCGTAAGCAATAGTCTCGTCTCGCGATTTTTTTTTTTTAACGATAGATGTTGGCGTGTGTGTGTGCTGCAACGCTAGCGTGCTGGGTACCAGCCATGACGTGGCGCTGTGAAACGAAACTGTTTTGGCGCGGCGGGAGTTGCTTTTTGAGCTGAAGCTCTCGCTCCTGAAATCAACGGCCACACGGCATTGCAGATATGGAGCTTCCTAAACTGAAACATAAGGACCGCCGCATGTTCATCAGCATTCATGTTCTTGTTTAAAACATACGCTGCTACAAAAATCCCTCTCTAACTCAAAGACTGCTGTGTCGAATTATTGATTACCTAGGTTTCTCTTGGTGGGCTTTCTTTCGAGAGGGACCCCGGTACGTGAAAAATCTGTTTTGAAGAAAAGTTGAAGTGAGCTAAAGCAAAGAAGGGAATGTCCGCACGCTGAACCCGCAGAGAACGCTTGTTTGTCTCGAGTTCAGTCGTTGCGCAGAGCGACCCTGGCTCGCGATGTCTTGCATCAATGCGCTCAGGTTCTTTTTTTCTGTCTTTAGCTCATACCTCGCCTGCCGGCCTTGCAAGCACGCGGCGCTGGACTCTTTTTTTGTCGCATGCTGGGCAGTTACATTTTGCATAGATTTTTGGCAACCAGTTGGGACGGAGCGGAGAGGCATGCTTTCGGTTTCGATTAAACAGCCGTTTCGCTCGCGCGACAAAGCACGTGCACCTGCAAGCCTGCCGGAGTTGCCCTCACGTGCATGCGAACCAACGATGCGAACATAATTGCACGACAGAGGCACTAGCCGGGACGCTTGCAATTCAGTGTTTTGCATTTAATTACTTATGACAAAAATCTGGCACGTCGGCAATCAGTAAAACGGTAGCAAGCGGTTTTTCGGAATTGCTTGGCAATGCCTACAGCACTGTACACTTGTGGGATGTTGCAATGTCTCTTTGGAGACATTAAAATTGGACATTCAATACTACCCTAAGCTAAAGCAAAGCTTGCTCCAGCTTCGCAGAATGTTTCAAAAACCAAAAAGAAATGTGTCATGTCATTGGCATTTCAGTTACATCTTGAAAGACTCCCAGGTGGCCAAACTTGACCATAATTGGTTTATTTCGGCGAGCAAGATTCCCTTCGCGTGTCCAGCATTTAAAACAAATATTTTTATTTTTATTAGAATATCTGCTTTAAAAGCTACTTTTGCTGCTCCAAAACACTGTTTTGGCTGCTCCGAAAGGTGCTTCAAAACGGCTTAGGCCAATCACATCTCTGCTATATGAGTTTCAGCATTTGTCAAGGAGCGCAAAAATCAAAGCCCGGGGGTTGGCCATTGCAAAATTGTTGACTCGGAAGCGCATAGGGAGGAAGCTTTACAAAAGTATCCACCTGCCTCTACAAGTGAAACCGAAACTAAGAATGTGGGTTCCATTTGAAAAAAAAGCATTGTCGGCCCGAATTAACTTGGGGGCGGCACGAAGCAAACAAGCCACGTTACGAGTAGGCTTGGTTCAGACTTTTGTAGGGGTGGTTGATGACTGTGTTTTCTAAAAACATATTTTTCTAAAAGTGTGGTGGTCGAATATTCGGGGATGGGCATTGAGTCGGGATGTTAAGGTAAAAATTTCATCCACATGCCAGGATTCATGTGCCTTGTCCCCCTAGCGAGGGGGACAAGGCCTTCAAAATTTTAGGTTTGCAAAATTGGTGCGTCAGGATTGACGTCTCATTTTACATCGGGCCTCTCATTTTAAAACTCACTATAAATGACATGTCTAAAATTCGTTTCGGTGTACTTCCTTCCAGCAAGTATATGGTTCTGTCTCAAAAGGTCTAATCTGATGTTGACTGCACCTCAGGTCTCCACCGACAATTCATCAGGACGAGACCCAACCGGGGACATTAGGGATGAGTGGCTTAAAGGGACCATGAAATGACTTTTTTACTTTTTCCACATAACTTTTACAATAAACCGTCAATGTTCACTGAATGCCGAACAGGCATCCGTTTTCGTCTCGGTTTATTAACTTCTACACAAAAAATTAATGAAATATCGACTTTTTCTTGACCGCAAAACAAGCCGTGACGTACGATGTTTCCGGAACCGGAAGTTCTCTCTGCAGTAGGAGATGGGAGCGTTAGCGAGGTGGGGTGCGCCGGTGGGTTTTACTGCGCCGATGTCACCGACGTATTTTCTGAATCGGCGCCTCTCATCGCCGCATCGCAGCTGAACGAAATTCAATGAGATACGTTGCGCTACAGCGACAGCATGGGAATAGTCCCATACGCCGGTATGCCTGTTGGGAAGTGCAGATGGGAACAATTTGCCGCGGCGTTTTTCGCGGTCTCGGAGATGCAGGAGCGAGCCGACGTTAAAAAAGATACGTTTGAACTGTCAGCAAGAGCCACGTAAATACCTGTTCACACTCGGAGCGGACGCGCGCGTTTGATGAAGTGCTGTATTCGCGCTGTTGGTAAGCGCTTCGGGACCGATCTTTTACAATTGCAACTCGATACTGACGGGACACTCGGCAAAGAAAGGTTGGACCGGTATTGCACGTATACCTCCCACGAACTGTTACAGCTCGACAGTGACGTGCAGTCTGTCAGAATAAAAATGGCATACCAATAACAAAGTGTACATACCGTGCTACGAAGGTAATCCATACAGCGTTTATTTCAGCTCTATATCACACAAAACAAGGAGAGGATCGACGAGGGTCCCTTTTCGACGAGTGTTCGTCAACACTGCCTCGGAAAACAAGGGGAAGAGATTGACCTCACCTCTTAACCTAAAATTGAGGTCAGCGATCAAACTATAATACGGAAGGGTCCACAAGGGTAGCGCGGGCATATTCCATTCAGTACGCCAGCCGGTCGTAGGCAGACGGTCTTGCGACGAAGCAACGCTGCGCCGAGTCGGAGTGCCTGCTAGGCCTATATTCTGAGAGTTTCGTCGGAGCGGGATTCGCGGCTGTTGTCGCTCTTCTCGGGTGTTTGTGGATCCAGCGTTCTTGTTCGTCGTGGTTTGTTTTAAGTACATTTCTTTCTTGCTGCTTGAAGTCGGCACGCGCGAGATGAACACGTAGAAAAATAAACGTTCAGTCAGTCAGAGTTTTGAGAGGAAGGAAACCAAAGGAAATAACCGTTCTGATTCTGAACTTGGCCCTGCCCTACTGCGCACGCGCAGTAGCTGCTTCGTTTACCACACGATAGATGGCGCTTGGCTCTCAGCATTATCAAATTTGGCAATTTTCGCCACACATCTCTAATTATGCTACAAAATGTGGATCTGAATATTATTTAACAAAACTTTTAGGAAACATTCGCCGGCTATTTATTGTTTACGATCGCGGTGCTGGTGAGGTAGGCTCTTACCCAATAGGCGATGTGGATTCGGCTGACGTGCACCGATTCTGCGTATGCATCGTAGTGAAAAGGCAGAGCTTTCGAAGGAAAGAAGTCGCAAAAGAGTCCAGTTTTCTTTTAAAAGTTCTGTAGCAAATAATTTTTTTTGGCTCCCTAGTCTTGTGTTTTTGTGTTCCTTTTCACACCTTTTACGACGTGCGGTGGATGAAATTCGATTTTAAAATCATTTCATGGTCCCTTTAAGCAAGGAAGGCTACATATACGACAGCTTCTTGCGGACAAGAACCGAAAATAGATGGACGGTGGATGTTTCATTTGCTATGCCTTTTGGCATGCACATTCTGTTTGTTATGATTGAAGATTCCTGCAGAGTTCAATTTCAACTATTGTAAAAAACCGAGCATGCGCTCAGATGGCAGAAGCGCCTACCCTCTGATTCGAAACGATCCGCAACTAAGCAAAGGACATACCAGACACCCATACACCTGTTTTGAGCCATGCTCAAAATATTAAAAGAGCACGTCAAGAGCCAGGTGCTTTGGCGTCTTTGCCACAATGGCGCCGGTTGCAGAGCTGACAGACCCGTGACTGGCACAAGCCATGGCATGGTCTTTGGGAACCAGGAAATCGAGATTTAAAAAGTAGCACAGAAATTGGAGGCGGGTGGTGAAGGTGGGCAGAGTTAACAGAAAACAAGGATGAAGGAAGTTCGTCGCACGAGGCATTTATGTCCCGTGCATATAATTTTGAGTGTGCTGTAGTTGGCTACTCAAAAAAATTGTTACTTGGACGTAACTAATCGCAAATCTCTCTGCAGTTTCCATGGCCCACAAGCCAGCAGGCGCCAGTTCATTCTTGTTCAAAGGTGAGGATTCTAGATTTTCTAGATTGCTCTGAAGCAGCAATGCTGAAGCCAGACAAGCGGTACGGCATATTTAATTGAGGAGCCCAGAACGACTTGGGACGCTTTCACTGAAGCTTGTTTTGCTGCAATACACGCTTGTATTGCAGCAAAACAAGCTTCAGTGAAAGCGTCCCCAGTCGTTGTGAGCTCCGTCAAATAAATATGCCGTATCGCTTGTCTGTCTGGCTTCAGTGTTGCTGTAGGCGACAAAACATGTGCCAAGTTTTGTCACAAGAGGCATATTATGTCATGCACATGTAATTTTGATTTTATCCGGCTTAGTGTGCTGTAGGTGGCTGGTCAAAGAAATTGGTACTTGGACACAGCTAATCGCAAATCTTTCTGGCACTTTCCAAGGCCTAAGAGCCAGCAGGTCCCAGTTTGCTTTTGCTCAGAGGTGAGAATCCCAGATTCCCGAAGCAGGAATACTGAAGCCAGACGACCGGTACAGCATTTTTAATTGACGAGGCTCAGAACGACTGGGGGCTCCTTCATTGAAGCTTATTTTTCTGTAATACACGCGAGCGTAATTGACGTATGCCTAGTTACGTCGCAAGAGGTTATCTATGTCCCGCGCATGTAATTTTTTTAATCTTTCCGACTTAGTGTACTTGAAGGTGACAGCACAGGAAAAATCGAACTCACACCAGACACTCAGGAAGACAAGCACACGCGCTGAACTTACAACTCTTGTG